TACTGGAAGGTGCATTTCCAGTCCAACCTGAAGTACTTTATCAGCTCTGACAAGATTATATATATATACACACACGCACATATTTCTTCTTTTTTCCATTTCATAACTGTACACTACATTGTGTTGATCTATCCTATAAAAGATTGTTGTCGTGACATGTTAAAAGTTAGAATTTTCAATGAGTAATTTTCCAAGGCGTAATAACTCAGCTTCTTGCGATCAGTAAACCTTCCAATTGTATTCTGCAATCATTTAAGCTCTTTCAGAAATAAGCCACCTGACTCATGAAGAACTCATCACAAAGTCCAGAGATGCTCAGTGACAATGAGTAAAATCCACAAATCTCCTTAAAATGTTATACTTACTGCACATTCATGCAGGTTACTTGTAGTTTGCAGCAAAGTTAAGGGGAAAAAAAAGTTGAAGATACAAACACTTGTTGAGTCCCAACTTACCGACGTCACTGCTCCAAGCTCTTGCAGCAACCATCTCGTGGTAAACTGCCAAAAGTCCAAACAGGAGAATCGCCGCAAACAGAAAATATTTGCCATTCCGCCGCAGCTTCTTCAGGGGGAAAAACTCCGTGATCATGTTGACTGCGGGACGAAATTAGCTCCCGAACAGATACCCCCGCTCTGTTATCAGGGGGAGACCCCAGGACTCAACGCGAGCCCTCCCTCCAGAGAACGAACCAGGCGGCCGGCCAGCCAGCCAGCCGCCCGCAGCTGCTCCCGGGAGGAGCGCTGCGACTTCAGTGCGCCTGAAAGCCCGAGCGATCCCGGTGCGAGAGTCCACTGGCGCCTCTCATCCAAGAAAACAAAACATCCTGACCTGTGTCACCCGGTGATCTGCACTGATCTCTATCCTAATCATTTAAATATTTCAAAGGGTTTCCTGTAAGTCTCAATCACGGGAGGGCGTCCCGCTGGCGCGCTGACCTCTGCTCCCTCCACGCATTGAAGCGCACAATGAAACGAACGAGGAGTGAAATCTCACACCAGCTTCATCCCCGTCTCAATTTAATCAAGTCAGGCACAACGTGTCAGCAAGCTGGGCTGGCGCTTCTACATAAAGCCTGACGCGTGACGATACCAGTGAAATAAAAAAATAATATGGGTTCTTACGCGCTTTATTCTGACAGAGGTGGGATAAAAACTCTTTATTAACCAGTTTATTAACAAAATGAATACATTTCAATGATCGTTTTGATGTTTTTTACACATGTATTTAACGTTTTGTTATTTTGAAAGGCCACATCGGAAGTGATACATTCTTGCTTAGCGTTAGCTTGATTTGAGTGCCCAAGGGAGGAGTAAACATGAGTAGAAGCCAACCAGGTAGAAAACCCCCCACCAAGAGATCTACCTGTTACAGGTAAAGCCACACGTATTTCCTTAATGCCGCCTGTTTTCCCGTCAGAATCCAACCCTTCAAGCCCATTCTTCTGCCTCATGTTGATTTGCTTCGGTTTATTCCCTGAAGGAAACTTTAAATCTGTGCAAAGTGAGATTATGCACAATCAGATAGTCAGTCATGAAAAATAGATCACAATTTATTCAAACATTAAAACAAACAAAAATAAATAAATAAAATCAACTTTAATCTAAAACACTTTGGGCAAAGTAATTTTTCTTCTAGGGACTATTATTGTCTTCCTGATACTGTATTGATAACAATATGTACTTGAAAGTGATTCATTTTAGAAATTAAATTAAAAACTAGACTTACTTTATTTGATAAGTACACTGACAGACTTATATTTCAAGTTTTTATTAATGTTAATGTTATAATTAGTGAAAATCAAATACACATGCTGTGGACTGTTGACACTTATCACCAACACAACCCTTAAGGAGGATAAGCCACAGAAGGCAATTGCTGTTGCAGCAAACTGTTCACAGAGGGCCTGCATTCATTCAAATTAAAGGAAAGATGAGTGTAAGGGAGAAAAAAAAATCTGCTAGTCGTAACCCATATCTACAACTAGGAGACTCTCATTATTCCTTGTGTTAAGCCACTCCTGATCAGAGACAGTTGAGGCATCATAGCTAAGGAGAAAAAGGGCTAGACTTTTAGTAATTTTTTTTTTTTTAAATCCTTGTCTCACATAAAAGCAAATTTTCTATTCTGTTTAGAATTTAAGGTACCAAACTCTGGAGACAGAGATAGGAGGCACAGATCCTAATTTGCTCGAGGCTAATTTGTATGTAGCTTCCACAATCAGGGATGATCTGAGGAGAAATGTCATCTCATGGTGTTGGTCTGATGTGTTCCAGAGCTGCCATCTACCAGGAATGTTATGGAACTTCATGCTTCCCACTGCTTACGAGCTGCATGGATGACTTGGCACCTGCCTACAAATGAACAAATATATGCTTTTAATGACCATACATCACTGTGATTGATTGAGCAACAATGATAAAACAAAGCCAACAAATGCAGATAACCTATAGGGTTAAAGCAACCGGGGCTTCCTTAACATGCCAGCAAAGAGAGAAGAGAGAAATCAGACTTTCCCTTCTGGGCTAGTATTGATATACCTTCATTACCTAATGAACAAAACAAATCTGTCTTATTTATTATCAACAGGCAGGGAAAGATGAAAAAAAAAAACAAAAACAAAAAAAACAACACTTCCGTAAGATGATACCAGCGTCCCTGAGAGAAAGCTAGGGGATCAAATGAGTTCCAGTTCATCCATGGAAAAAAAGATTCTGACCTGCCAACTAAAGCAGGTGCAACCTTGGAAAGGCTCATTATACAGCCTCAGGATTTAACAAAAGGCAAGCAGGTTAAAGCTTTGTGCTAGTAAAACCAGTACCGGAGTGATTTGTTTGGCAACATGCTGCCAGTAAGTTATTGTTTTCACTGAACAGAGCACAAGGATATTTATGCGAAATGCTGAGAAGTTTAAGCCAATACTAACTAATAAATTGAGAGCAGAGAACTACAGGTTTTAATAAACAGGAGGATGCTGGTTAAAATTAATTATTGAGAAAAAAAAATATAGCAACAACAAATTCTCAAGTGGTTGTGTTCACAGATCACCGAAATGTTTCAAATCTAACCCCCCAAAATTTCAGTAACTGAAGGCAAGAGACAGGGTGAAAGTACCAGCATTTAAACATGCACAGCACAAATAGATGGTATTTTCTTTAATATGGGCAATATGGCTAACACCCCACAACAGCACTGTTTAAGGGGCTGAAACATAAGTATGGAGCTAAAACAGTGTCAGTATTCACCACTGCACATGATACACAAGTGCACAAAGCAATATTTGCAAATGCACATAATTCACTTTGTGTTTTGGAGGACAAAGTCTTTGTGGACCACTTTCTTTCACGGGATGTAGGAGTCTGTCGCGCAGTCAGAAGGATTTCATGCCTCAGTGATTCCAGACAAAGAAATAAATATTTCCTTTTCTTCACTTGCTGTCAGTTGAGTTTTTGTTAGATTTCCCATTAAATACAGAATCAGAAGCTGCAAGTTGGGGACCAATTTCAGCTTTGTCTATGATAATTTCACTGACTACAACACATCTGCTTTCGGCTCCGACTGCTGTATTCTTTCACGGGTTAAGATGACAATAAAAAAATAATTTTCTTAAAAATTCTTTGATTCAAGAAGTTTTTAATTGTCATACCAGTTTGTTTGTGGTATGAGATTTGTCCTCAGGTCCCAGATTAAGAAATGTAAATTAATTGAATATTACATTGATATAATTTATTCAAGGACCAGCGCTTTACAACTCTTCCTAATACACAAAGGCTATTATTGCCTTGGGACCGAGGACAGCTTTCTTCTTCAATAAGTGATTTTACATAAGTTTTACTTCCACGTGGTGCGTTCTTATGATTGGCTGAAACAAAGATATGCTTGGTTGCTGATATTTCTCTTTTGGAAAAAAAACAAAAAAACACTTGTGGTTTGAGCCATGTCAGGGGAGTCTCACAATTCACAAAAATGCAGGGAAGTACACAGACCACAAGCAGTTTGTTAATCAAGATGCATTTGTGTTTTGCATTTAAAAAAAAAAAAAAAATACAACAGCGAGTCTTGTTCTGTTCATTTGTAAATATTGCTTTGTGCACACGACTCATCCTGTGAATCTCATTCTGTGCATTTTGTAAATCTTGTTCTATGCAATGGTAAACTGTTATGTGCATTCGTAAATTTTGAGACCGTTTTAGTGCCATATTTATCTTATTTTAAGCTTTGAGCAAAAACCCCTGTGGGAGGCATAAAAAAATGCTATTCCTGGTATTGCTGATTTAACGGTTTCTCAGTTTTTAAGAGTAAGAAGATCTCAATCAAGGAAAGAAGGGAAAGGAAAGTGCCACAGGAAACCTCAAAACAGACAAAGATATAAAAAAGGCACATATACAGAGTTCGTAGTGAACAGTTTATTATAAGTCTGTCAGGACACACCAAGCAGTGACTTCCCAACAAAGATAAACTCAAAAAAAAAGCTCATCTTACATTCGGCATCTACTTTAGCTTTTGTCCATGTAGGCACTGCTGACTAAAATGCAAAGGGTTTATGCACAGATTCCAGTTGCTTTATCAATTCTACTTTATAAATCTTTGTTGAGAACAGTACAGTAATCACAAGCACAACACTAGAAAAAAAAAAAAAGTACAAAGTCAATATTTTCGAAGGAAAAGTGAACAGTCCTGTACCCAAGGGCTTTAAGGGAACCCCACAATTTTGCTGAGAGAATATCAAAGTCTGTAAACTAGCCCAGACTGACGTTTTATCACATTGCCAATCCACAGTGCTGCTACATACACACTTAATGACATTAACATTCAAACCAAACCAGTTCTGTGAACACAATCATCCATACTCCAACAATTGATCAGTAGGCCCATGAGGAGGCTCGGATGGACAGCAACAACAAGGAATACGGGACAGAAAATGTTGGGGGGTAAATGGCGGAGCCCTTGACGGGTTGTAAAACTCTGCACGCAACACCTGGGATGCACTTTTCTTTTTCCTACCTACCAACGTTTCTTCAAAAATAAAAACAATTAAAAAAAACACATGCACAGTTCAGAGCTGTGGGCTTAAAGTGTTTAGAGCCAAGGGTCATGGCACACAATCGACTTATTAAATCCATTTCCCAGAGTGCTGCCAGCCGAAGAAGCCCCACTCATTCAGCTAGCTGCCACACCATAGAGCCTGGACACAGCGACATGTCAAAGACCCGCCCGAGGTCAGCGCTCTCAGTGACACTCATTCTCGCATATACATATATACACAACCATACCTTAAAACACAAATGGGCGGTTACAAAAGTCTAAGTACATTTGAACCATAATAACAGTTGCATCTTCATCTATGCTTTCCACTTTACTGAGTTTCCTTTTCCCCATTTTCAACCTCCATTGCCTCCTCGCCGTTCTCCTTATTCTCAGGTTTCACCTTCTCTGCTTCTTTCTGCTCAAAAAGGAAAACAATAGTCTTTATTAGTGCCTCTCCAAGGCACATTTTGATGATTTATGCCGCCCTCTAGTGGCAACTGGGCAGTTGTATGCAAAGAAAAATGCCCTCACCTTTGAATCCCTTTCAGCAAATTTCTGGAACATGTTCGCATAGATGCGTTTGTCCTTTTCGTGCTGCTCCTTAATGCGTTTCTGACACAGGACCACCTAATTTGACAAGGAGATAACCAGCTGTTTAACAAAACTACAGGTAAGCACCCAAAAGGAAACCAGTGAAAGTTGAAAGACATGTTTTGAAGTTCTGATAATAATTTTCAAATTAAATTTTTTTGACAGCTTTCTCCATGACACTGCATCTAATTTTAAAAAGGCAGATTAAAGAAGTCTCCTTTGCAGTAGGGCTGAAACGATTAATTGGACTAATTGTGATTAGCTTATTATTGAAATAATCAATTTATTAATTCAGACTCTAAAAAGGCTATCTGCTGATAAAAACAATACCATCATAGGAGTACTTAAGCCAGACCCATTCCCACCTATATAACATGGGTAAACCTATTTAGCAAATAATCAATAGAAATGTTAAACTGAATAATCAAAGCTAGTATAGATCCACTATGAGATTGCTTTTACCAAGCCTTCATTCTCAGTGGCTGAGAAGAAAAGCACGCAGAACTTTTCACATTTTATTTGTTGAAAACCAGCTTCCTGTCTACTTTATGTCCAAAATCCCAATAAAATGAAAGTAGAATTATAAACGAAGTGGTTTTAATGCGAAAATGGGCAAAACCTTATGAGGAATTAGTACTTTGTGTTATACCTGACTTTTTGCGGCTTTGTTGGAAGGATACAGCTGAACAACTCGCTGGAAATCATCTCTTGCCTTCTCAAATTCATTCATACCGAACAGCGCCTCTCCCCTTCGGAACAAAGCCTTCTCGTTTGTAGAATCCATTTCCAGGGCCTGCAACAGGAAATGGTGGGGTCTTTTTGAGATTTAAACAACTCACCTTCTGCAGAGCGCAAAAACCCTCATCTGAAAGACATCTGTTCAGTCTTCCCTTTCAGGAATTAGAGAAGTCAAATACCTTGTCACAGTTTTCAAAGGCTTTGTTTGGCTCATGCATTTTAAGGAAGCACATGGCCAAGTTCAGATGTGCAGCCAGTCGCAGGGCTTTTGCCTTCTTTTCATCCTCATCCGACAAGCCAGACTCATGCTCTAGCCAGGCAACAATCTTTTTGTACTGCACAGACGCCTGTTTGTATTTCCCATCCTGTAACAGAAAATCCCCGGGTCAGAAAACATAGCAAGGACACATGGAGCAATTAAATCCAGAATAAAATCTTTTGGCTTTTTAACAAAATGTACCTTAAAACACTGTGTTCCTTTCTCCTTGACAATACCGCTTTGCTCCAGCTTTTCCATTGTGTTCATTTCCCACGACTCCTTAGCCTGTTGGATAAAAATAAGTCAAATGTGAGGAAACTTGATCAACAACTACCCATCACAGATCTTTGTGATATGCTTACCTTCTCAAAGGCTGTTAGCTTAATCTTGTACTGCAACGTTGCGCCACAAGGAATACAATACCTTTCACTTCCATCACCCCCAAAGCCGTACCTATAAAATAAACACAGACGTTAAACCGTACACACACACTAATACCAATACCTGGGGGTAATTTAGAGACCACAAACCTCTGGTCATGTTTATGGACTGTAGCCCACTAATGTACAGACTGAACATGCAAACTCCATTCAGAAATCCCAGGCCAACCAAAGGCCTTCTTGCAGCAAGGCAATAAACAGTACCAATATTACACGAGAGACNAGATAAACTAACAAACATAATCATACTTAGGTTTCATAATGAAGAGTGCCTCTTCCCCCTGCTCCATGGCCATGATGGCTTTCTCCACACCGCTGGGCAAGCCAAAACTCTCTCCATCCCCAATCTCAAATTTCAGCTCCCTCTCATCAAAAACGCGCCCATCGCAGGTACCTTGAACAAAGACTGAAACAGAAACACTGGGATTAACTCGTGACAAACCTTGGGGGTGTGTACTACAAAGCAGGGCTGCCTTTGAAAAACTGTGTTTTCATTGCTGAAGTGATGCTGTGAAGCTGGTCATTAACTCAGAGTTTCAGACTCCGAACACATGCACGTTTGTGAAACACTGAAATAAGTGGGCCAATCGCAAAGAAGATGCAGGCAAAAAGTTGGCAACAAACCACAATCTTTAAGTAAATTATCCACAAAGAAAAAATAGGTTCAGTCATGCAAGAGGCAATATGTCAAATGCCTAAATCCGTTGGGTCTAAACTCTTCGCCATGCCGGCCATCCAGATGGAAGTACTTGTGAGCCAAATTAGGTTTTACTAAAACAAAACAAAAATATCTAAAGACACAAAAATATTTCCAGTTTAACAAAAAAATTCTTGAAATCTCAAACCTGTTTTCATGGAACACACAAAGGAGTCTAATTTCATAGAAAAGGAATTCATTTTCAAACTAAGACAAAAAATATGTATATTTTTCCTAACGAAAATACAATTCTATTGATGAAACTATTCTTCTGAAAATTATGTTTTTTAAAAATGTCCATCTGCACCAACAGTCTGCCAGATGTGACCGTTCAGAATTTATATTTGTAGATAAACTGTCTTTGTTTTAACTAAAGAAGGCTGAAATCCGTTGAAAACTATGGTTACTGAAATGCGTACCACCCAGAGCAGTTCTTACTGGTCTTCAAAGTGTAGCTAAACCAGTTTTACAACCTACTTTTAAGCATTTTTCTATTCAAGTGTGGATAATGAGAAAACTATCAGCTGACCTTTAAAATGTGAATATGCACACTTGTTCACTTCTGCATGAGGCCATGTGTTGCCACGGTTCATAAATTTGATCAAATCTATGAACCGGTTCATAAATTTTATCAAATCTATGAACCGGTTCATAAATTTTATCAAATCTATGAACCGTGGGATTATCACACTTCTGAAAATCTGATCAGCTCTTAAAAGTTTTCTTTTTCAAAAAACAAATCCGTCAGACTGCTTGATTTGTCATGTGACATGATACTTTACAGTGAATGAAGCAGAATGACACTGTTGGGGTAAAACTATTTAGCATAAACTTAAGATATACATTTTTTTAAATAAAACAACATATTAAAGATTTTGATTGACATTTCTTGTTATCTTAACTTCGTAATTAAAACCATCAACCACTCAAATGATACCTTCCACCACAGCTCCTTCATTGGGCTTGGAATAACCCTCTCCTTTAGTGATGATGCGCCGAATGATTCCTCCGTCTTCCTCCTCGGTTATGTCTTCCCCACGAAATTCAAACAGTTCCACCTGCATTTATAATGAATAAGTAAACATTTTGACTTTCCAGGCCAACAATAAGCAATAACACGTGGACCCAGTCCTCTACAGGCACGGGTGAGTTTACCGTTTCAAATGGCACCAAAGATTGTACGAAAAAAAAATTTGGTGAGAAATAACTAGAAGGCTTCCCATCATTCCTATTAAGAGGACACTGTAACAAGCATACAGTGACAAGGTTTAGAAAAATAAAATAACTTATTTAAATCATTAGATTAAAAAAGGAATACAAGAAATCTGAATGAGATTTATTAAAATAAGAACAGATTTTTATTTGGTGGTACCTTATTGGAAACAATATCAAGACTAACTTCACTATAAGGCTGTTGGACAAAGCAGAACGGGTCAATCGCATGCAATTTGATTGTCATTACTTTTTTAATACAAGATAATGGAGCACCAAGATCTGGTAGGAATTTTACGCGAGCTGGAGAGATCATTAAGGGCCCTCTTAGAAGTGCTGTCTGTGTTCTCATTACCAGGAATGCTCACGTGTGGCGGGACGCAGCAAAAATCAATATTTAAACTCAGAGCAGAGGTTTTAAAAGCTCTGTTGCTTTAAAAGAACAGAACGGCAAAAGATGCAATATCGGCATGACAGACAGTGGAAGCCTTTAGCTGCTGCTCATTTAAGAATTTTGCGTGAGTCCATGTACAAAACAATAATGTATATATTATGACAACATTAAAATAGCCTTTAAAATCAACATCTTAATTCAGCAGTCTTATGTATATAGACTTCTTTTCAGCTTTAACTGAAGGAATAAAATCATGATTTACATTTTCAGTTTAAATTTTGTTTTGTATTTTACTAAAAATGACCATACCAAGATAATCTAATATCAATTCCTGCCCAATTTGGATAAAAAGAAAAAAAGACTCAACTGTACCTCAAAAACAAGAGTGGCTTTGGGAGGTATTTTGGGTGGGCTGCCTGCAGATCCATAAGCATACTCTGGCTTGCAGATGAGCTGACACAGCTCTCCCACTCTCATTGTAGCCACGCCAATATCCCATGCCTTAATTACTTGACCTAAAATGAGAGAGAACTTCAATAACCCCGATAGTTGTGCAACTATGACTGAGAAGTATTGATGTCTTTTAGATAGCAGACCAACCTTTGCCCAGCTCAAAGGAAAATTTCTCTCCTCTGTCCCTGCTCGAGTCAAAATGTGTCCCGTCCAAGAGAGTCCCCACATAATGGACAAACACTTTATCACCAGTCATAGGGAAGTCCGTGCCTGTGCCTTCCCGTTTCACCAGCTGTAAGGAGAGACATTTGCAGAAGTTATGGAAAGCCGTTATCCAAAGCCAAATTTTAGTCTGTGTCCTGCTTAGCCACTGTACAGTTAAGATTCTGTACATCAAAAAAATTTTTTTTTAAATAAATCCATTCAGGATTGTTCTCCTGTATGGAGCGTAAATGGCTCGGTGCAGCACTGACAGACTGACTGTACGGATCCTTCTGGAAATGCACGCTGTTGCACTGCAAGTATTAAATTTCACCTTCATCCAAGAATCAAATGACATAAAAACGAATGCAGTGCAAAATGATGGGAATATACCGTTTTGTTGCGACTACTGCGGCTAGCTTGTACGTCCTATTTACATTGAAATTCTGTGCGTCATACATGCTACACGCAGCTAACATTAGCCTAGCTATTTCTAGCAGGAGTAAAAAGCACCAGTTCGTTTACCTTTAAAACACCTCCATCTTTCTTTGGTGTGATGTCTTCTCCCTCCATGGGCATGGTGTTTTGCCCCTCGCTGTTCTGCTCCTCTGCAGTCATCGTTTTTGGGTCAGATTCCCCCCTATCCCTACAACGCAGCACGAACTGACACTTGCTACCAACCACGCCAAGTGCAGCAAGCAACAACTAACGTCAACACAAGTAGTAGCAAAGGCTTCGTTTGGCTCCCCCGCTGTTAGTTCTTCTCTTCCTTTTTGCAATTGGAAATTAAATGCACTCTCAAATAACTACCCAATAATCCAGTTATCTGTGGTGTTAGACAGAGAGCTTCTAGTTCACGTTGGGCAGCTGACAGGCGCTTAGAGGAGCAGAGAACTTTCCAGACAGTCGACCTGGATCGACAGCGACGAAGGCGCTGTTGGGTGGCGTTTCACGTCCTACAACCAGACACCACAAAGGCGGTGCAAAGCTAAAGGAATTGAACAATTACAAGATTTAGAAACAATTTATATCTATAATTTTGATGTAACATCATAATTAGTTTTTATATTCTGTAAAATTGTAATGCAAACTATAAAGCGAAGAAGATAAAGCTTGTATTATAATTGCCCCGCCCACATAAGTTGTTTCATATAGTAAAACATGCACTTCTATTTTTATCCCTCCTCCTATTGGCCACTGTTTGTGACCACTTCTGTTTGTTGGCGCGGTTGTTGAAAACCCGGGAGTTGAACAAAGTACGTTTCAAAACTTCATCCCTGTGGTGAGTTCACTACTTTGCCGATATATATATACGTATATAATGAATGCGAGAAGTTAACCGTACTTTTAGCTACTTACGACTAGTACGTTTTTGAGTGACAAATGTCCCATTCAGACTCCGAATGAACTGTTGGATGCGTAACAGACCATTTCATGGTAGGAGGCAATATCTTCCTTGTGACAGGATAGTGTCTGTCTTTGAATTTATGGCAACTATGAATGCAAAGAAAGACATATATCTGCTTTGGCCCCTGTCTTCATCTGCAGGAGAATCTTAATAAGTCGTTTTGCCCAAACTTGAAAAGGCTTTCTTCCTCCAAAGAGACGCAGGAACAACTCATCTCAGTGACATCTTTTATTTATCTTTCCTTTAGATGGCTGTCATCAACAGCATATGAGCAAACGTGTGGTCACATGAGCAGTGGTTCACATGAGTAGGTCAGAGTAGTCAGTGAGTAGTCAATGAGTAGTCAAAGAATAGGTTGAAAACCTACAAATAGATAAGATAAATTAGATCACAGTGAGTTAATTTTAACTTGAACTAATTAACTTGTTTCTCAAGTAATGATTTAATAATTTACTTGTAAGTTAACAGTGGAAAAATAAACTATATTCCAAACAGTGCAATGAATTTGTTTCCAAACACATGAAAAACATTGCATCAAACAAATCTATTTTGGTCTTCTGAATGCAATTTGAATGATGTAAACTGAGAAAAATGTCCAATCCTACCAGTGGTGTCTTTGAGGAAGCTCTCAGTTGAGGTTCTTTGTCTGAAGAGAGATCATTCTGAGCACAGGTGTGCCAAGTTACCTTATAAATTTGGCTGCTGAGCTTGAGAAGTGAAATGGGTGGGTGCGCTTGACGTTGGTGAGGTCCGTGGCAGTTGGGTGGAGATGGGAAATGCATTCAAAAGTGTACCATTTGCTGTTTTAACTTGACATTTAATGATAATATCATTGTATGATTTTCAAATATTGTGTTTTATCAAGTCCAAAGTCAGAGCAACCATTTGCCAGAATATTTTAGAGCACTCAATGTTTCTTCTTTACTGACGAGCCTTTTTGAAAAATGCAGATTTCCTTTTTTCCAACAGGATGTAGCAGCAGCCCACACCTACAAAAGCTTCTATATCTGCTTTTGGGACCATAGCGTCACTGTGTTTAACCTAACACAATTAGGATGACTTAGTTTATGGGCCTATCTTATCCTTATGTTTTTTTTTTTTCCTTGCAGGCACTTTAGGAGCATGGAAAATGGAAGGGACTCATTTCCCTTTCCCTATAAGCCCTATGACATCCAGGAGCAGTTCATGAAAGCGCTCTACAGCGCCCTGGACCAAGGCAAAGTGGGCATCTTTGAGAGTCCAACTGGAACGGGCAAGTCTTTAAGTCTCATATGTGGAGCTCTGAGCTGGCTGGCAGACTATGAGGAGAAGAGGAGACAGGAGGCCGCCGCTCTCCTGCAGGAAGGAGAAGCGTCTCTCTCTGCCTCTGCTGCTCCATCATCCAGCAGCAGCTCTGCGTCTGCAGAGCCCGACTGGATCACCGACTTTGTCCAGAAGAAGGCTGAACGTGACCTGGTGTCAAAGTTAAAGGTGGGGGACGTTCGGATGGCAGCTTTTATTTATTTATGTTTTTTCATTAATAAAACTTAAGCTTTTTGTTTCAGGAGGAGGAGCTGAAGAGGAAGAAGAGAGAAGAGCGAATGGAGATGATCAGAAATAATCTTCATCTAAAGTATGCAAGTAAAAGAAAGGTAGGACTGTTTGGAGAGCCCCCATGTTCAGAATCCGTCCTTACACATTTCATACAGGTAGATGGAAATGTTTATCTGTGACCTCACCTCAGAGCTGCGAAGAGGATGAGGCATTCAAGCTGCTTCAGCTCAGTAAGGAGGAACAAACCGCGACGCCAGGAGATCAGGAGGACGAGGAGCTTATTGTTGCAGAGTATGAGAGTGATGATGAATCCAAGAGTAAGAGCAGGTGAGTGAATGCTGTCATCGACTGCACTCTCACGGGTGTCATGAAAAGCCTGAAAAGGCGATTAAAACAAGGTGTCTTTGCTTACCAGATTCTTCGGAGGTGAGGATGAGGATGATGAGGAGCTGGTTGAAGAGCATGTGACTAAGGTGACGAAGTCAGCAATAAACATGATCTCAAAATAGATGACAATGTGTGTTAATCTTGATTCTGATGTGAGTGTGACCGTCCCTGCTTGCAGATTTACTACTGCAGTCGAACTCACTCCCAGCTGGCCCAGTTTGTCCATGAGGTTCAGAAAAGCCCCTTCGGTACGACCATCAGTCTGGTCACGCTGGGTTCTCGGCAGGTATGGATGGGTGCACACACACGCACACACACTCTTTTACAAAAACAATGATAATATATATAAAAAAAAAAACATTGAACATGATATCTGGTATAGTTTGGGTTTTCATTCTTTCCTTTTTTTGTAGGGCAGTCTTTTTTTTATTATTTACTTTACTGTAACTAATGCTGCAGCTTGTTATAGTCTGACATTTGAGGAATGTTATGGTGGAGGGTTAGTTTTTCACCACACAGACCAGAATGTTCCATTTTAGAACCAAACTCTCCTTTAAACTTCTCAACAATTTTCTCTATGGTGCTATTTGCTCACTATTATAGTTTTATAAACGTCCGAAACTTTCACAGAACAGCTAGATTTATGCTAGCTGTTCCGATACACAACGGAGACTTTAGTTATGAAATAGGTGATTTATGCAAGGAGCTGTTGCAGTGGATTTTATTTAGGTGTATTGGAAAAAGAGACATGACAAGAAGTCATTTGTGTTTGTTTAAAATAAACATTTTCCTTTCATCTCACAGTTTTGCTCTGATGCAAATTACGAAGAAAATTATTTAACACACACTTAACTGACTACAACTCATGCTGATAATAAACAAAACAACAAATAAAAAGCAAAAACAAAAGCTTCAGTCCACTTTATCGCTCAGCTTCACCCTGTAGTCTGCCCCAATAAGATGGATAATAAGGGAGTTCCCTCCAGGTGAAAGTCTGGCCTGGCTGCCATCACGTGTGCACTCCATGAAGCTAGCCCACAGGAAGTTGACCTCAAAGAAAAAGAAACTAGTCTTCAAAATAAAAGCATAACAGAGCAAATTTCCTGTTGTGTCTGTGTGCACCTCAGCTTGATGATTGAAATGCTTTACAGCACCCTCACCACTGAGATTTTTTTTTAAGAATCATGTTCAGTTAAAACGGATCACTTTTTTTAAGCATAATCACTAAACAAAAATAGACAGGTTACCAATAAGTCTGATCCCGTTTTCCTTGTCGCTGCACTCTGTTCTTTGCAGAATCTGTGTGTTAACGAGGAGGTCCGGCGGCTGGGCAGCATCCAGCACATTAATGACCGCTGCATGGAGATGCAGAAAAACAAACACGGTGAGAGCCATTTAGCCACAACTTTACTCAGTTCTCAAAGTAAGGTCATTTTCTGTTGGCTTATATGTTTTTTTCCCCCCTCATTCTTTTATTTGTTTGCAGAGAAGCAGCACCACGAAGACGGTGCAAAACGAAAGAGGGGTCCGCCGAAGACTGTGTGTCCTTACAACAAAGCTCTGGCTCTGCAGCAGATGAGGGATGAAGTTCTGGGGACGGTGCAGGACATAGAGCAGCTGCTGAAGCTGGGCAAGGAAACAAAAGCATGTCCCTATTATTCCACACGTCTTGCTGTCCCACCTGCGCAGGTAAATCTATCCACTTATACCCCTTTAGCCCTCTCTGATAGTGTGTTAACGCCGCTAAAGGTAGAGGTGGATTAATAGTCCTGCTTGCAGCATTTTTTGCTTTTATTTCTTTGTAGCTGGTCGTTTTGCCCTATCAGATGGTTCTTCATGAGGCCACAAGAAGGGCAGCAGGTGTCCAGCTAAAGGGACAGGTACATTTATACATTATTCGTATAAATAATTTATACCAAATTTAGCCTAAATAGCATTTTAAATTACATTTTAAATGCTTGCAATGCTATTAAACTGCACTAATCTGATTCAGAGATGTATGGAGAAAAAGTTCTTGCCTATTTAGCTTCTGATTTCATTTGATATTTACAGAAAATGTCAATGATAATCCCCTAGAAATAAATGAATCTTCTATTGCCGCAGCAAAATTAAACACAAAAATACTTCATACTTTAATTTGACTACAAGGGGAATGTTTTAGGTCCTTATCCAGCTGGCAGACCTAATGGTGAGCCATACTGAGTTTATTGATTGACCCCAACAGAATTTTACTGGAAGTCTCTTATTTCAAAAGTCCCTTGCACAAAACACTTCATTCGAACATAATTCATGTTGGGATTAACTCTCCATTTTACACTCTTTCTCTTTAGCAAACTCCACACATATGTCAAGTGTATAACGGTAAACAAAAAGTTTTTTTTGTTTTTTTTCTCCTAGGCAACCAGTTGGCGTGAACAGATCCTCTTTACTTAGAGGGGCATTTGGAGGGTTTTTTAGAAATAATTTTTCAACCCACCTCAACAAATGCAGTACATTTAAACTGTTTAATTTCTCTGAGTGTAGATATGGTCTAATTAAAACCATTTCCTGTTGTATAAAAATCGACATGCATCACCATAAATACCCCAGGGACAAACAATGTACGTATTACTAATTAAAAGTATCTGAACACTTTGATAATTTGAAGAAGTAAATGATGGAAATAAATAAAATAAACATGTGCAGTTACATTTTATAAGAATTGTTAGAACTTTTTCAAGTTTCTCCTCCTCTGACTCACTTTGCTGAACTCAAAGTGGACATTTTCAGTGTGAATTTCTGCTAGTATAATAAACAAATCATTTGTTTTAAAGTAAGTCTGGAGGGCTCTGCAACCAGGATGACTAACTTCATATTTTAAAAACAGGTGGTGATCATAGACGAAGGGCACAACCTCAGTGACACTCTCTCCTGTATACACAGCGCAGAGCTCAGCGGAGCGCAGGTAAACTCTTTCTAAGTCTCAATTGTGTTCGGTCTCAGCGTCGTTGTTCCTAACGTCTGAATTTTCTGCAGCTCTGCCGCGCCCAGTCCCAGCTCACCCAGTACGCCGACCGCTACAAGTGAGCGCTGAGACAGAATCAAATCATACATTCAGTTTTATCTCGCATTGTTCTTATTCAATATGCACCTGTTTCAAACACCAGGAACAGACTGAAGGCGAAGAACTTGATGTACATCAAACAGATTCTGTTTGTGATAGAGGGACTCATCCGTGTGCTGGGAGGTGAGTGTCTCCCAACTTCCAAACAAAACTTTTGGGGTGCTTCATAATAATCCTGGCATTTCTCACTGTTTTCCTGTTCCAGGTAAAGTTGGACAGAATCCACAGAGTCAAACTACACAAGCAGGTCAGTCGGGGATAAACGTGTGTAACGCAGTTATTGGCGAACCTTGAAAAGTTGCTCACTAGAAAAAATGTTTTCTTTTTTCCCCCCTCAGGGACTGAAATGTATACTATTAACAACTTCCTCTTCAAAGCTCAGATTGACAACATCAACTTGTTTAAGGTAGTTATTTTTTAGCCCAAAAACATGTCGGATGTTCAGTTTTACCAAAATAATAAACATTTATATTACTGATCTTCCTACCTTAGTTACAAAGGTACTTTGAAAAGAGCATGATCAGCCGGAAGGTAAGCATTTCTCATGTTAGCTTGATTAATATGATGCACATAAAACATTATAATATCTTGCTTACGTTTTTAAACCTTTTCAACCTCTGTCGGCAGCTGGGTGGATTTGTGGAGAAGTACGCTGGCACTGGTGTGACTCTGCACACCCACAGCAGCTCCAACAAGGAGAATCGTCGCACAGAAGGCCTAAATCGCTACCTTCAGGCCTTAAACAGCAACCCCAGCTCCACACCAGGTTAGCCTCGGGATGCTTCCTCTTTGTAGTCGTTCTATGGACATTTAAGAAACATTCTAGGTGTTATTTTTCTGCATGTGACCATGTATAGCACAGCAAACAGCTGTAAGTTTTGCTTATTTTTCATCATACGCCGTGCACTCTCCTGCGAGCAGTTCCTTCAGCAGACCAGCAGGGGGCTTCCGAAGCAGACAAAGTGCTGTCCGCATCTCCTATGATGCAGGTGGAGGGTTTCTTCCTGGCTCTCACCAACAGTAACACTGATGGCAGAGTGGTGTTACAGAAACAAGGTATCCGTCTTTTTTTAATACCTTGGAGATGTGTTTGATTTATGTCACTGACGTAAATCAAACACAGAGGCTCAACTGCCCTGGTGTGAGACTGTCCACTTGTCACCCAGGCACTTTGTCCGAGAGCAGCGTCAAGTTCCTTCTTTTGAATCCAGCGGTCCATTTCGCCCAGGTGTTGAAGGAGTGCAGAGCAGTCATCATTGCTGGGGGAACAATGCAGCCTGTGAGTTGATTCTGAGAGAGTTGGACAAACAACAACAACAAAAAAGGGTTGCATAGAGATTTTAAGATTAAAGAAACATATACATGTATAGGTTTCAGATTTCAAACGGGAGCTACTGTTCTCTGCCGGAGTGAAGGAGGAGCGTATCACAGAGTTTTCCTGTGGTGAGTGGCTCTTTTTCTCTCGCATCACTACTGCTTATTGAGCTTTTGTTTATAACGCTCTTTATGTCAGTGGTTCAGTTTATGCGTATTTCTGTTCATAACGGCCATCTAATTAAAATAGATGGCTGGATAAGCAGCAGCTTTACTCCGATCTTCTCCCAGATGATCAAGTTAGGGTTCTTTTTTTCTTTTTTTTTTACTCTGACAGACCAGAGCACCGTCCTCTCGATACCCCATCACTTTGGAAAAGAGACACAAAAGATATTTCAGCTGCTCCACTTGTAACTGAGTTATTGGTTGGGAACAATCCACAATCAGCTGTTTCTAATTCACTTTAAGCTCAAGTCAGACTAATTTATCCAAGTGGAACAGTCCTGGTTTATAACTAAAAGAGTAATCCAGGTGAAATTGGTTTAAATTGTACATTAAAAGAAGTTTAGATTGCAATAAAGACATTTCTTTTTCATGACAGATAAGAATTGTCTTTTAGCAACAGCTGTTACACCACTGTAAATGCAGAAAAGATCCTATGTTCGTCAATGGTTAAATTGTGTCATTTTAATCCTTTTATTTTACTTCTCATGAAATCTGCAGGCCATGTGATTCCTCCGGAAAACATTCTTCCTCTTGTCTTATGTGCCGGTCCATCTGGTCAGGAGCTGGACTTTACCTTTCAAAACAGAGACTCACCCCAAATGGTACAAACAGACACATTTCAATAAGTTAACAACTTTTAACAGTTGAAATTGTTTTTATTTATTCTTAAGGTTGACACACTTACAAGATAAAACAGTGCGGCAGGTTCATGGATAAAAGTAGAGGTTTTGAATCCATCAGAAAAAGAAGAAATTACATCTTCCCCATTCATGCATCAAAGCGCTTCCTTAACCTTTTTATTGAACGCAGAAAACTGAAGAAAAGTGTTCGCTGCTGGCTGATGCATTAACAGATGAGAACCGGTGAAGCTCTTTGTGTTAATGAATTTGATTAGAGAGGGGAAAAAAAATTTCTTCAGTATGTATTCTCAAGGGAAAATAGGTCGATTTTAATCTCTGGCCAATTACTTTGTCCATCTTTTGTGATAAAGTGCATTTTTCCAAATAAATGATAATAAATAGAATTGTGTATGTTTTTATTAAGGATTAACAGCAAAGTCTTCTGTTAACAGATGGATGAAACGGGACGCATTCTCTCCAACATCTGCAACGTCGTTCCGGGCGGGGTCGTGTGTTTCTTCCCCTCCTACGAATACTCCAGGAGAATCATTTCTCACTGGGAGGCCAGCGGTGTGCTTATCCGGTTGGGGAATAAGAAAAAGGTATAAACCAGCAGCATATTTTAATAGTAATGAAGAGTGCAAGAAAAGGGAAAAAAAGCACAGCTTTATTAAAGACCTAAATCTCCCATCTCACAATCGCTTCTCAGATCTTCCAGGAGCCAAAGAAGGCCAACCAGGTAGAGCAGGTGCTAAACGAGTTTTCCCGCTGCATCCAGGTAATGTGAACTTCCCACCTGGCAGATATCTGATCGCCAGTGATGCGGTCATTGTGGCGAGACTTCACCACTGCTTTCGTTTCAGAGGAGTGCCGTGGACAGCAGCGGAGGAGTCACGGGAGCGATATTGTTCTCTGTTGTCGGTGGAAAGATGAGCGAGGGCATTAATTTCTCCGACGACCTGGGCAGGTGTGTTAATCACAAACCCCCATGGTTAACAAGCTCCTGTACGCTGCCTGGAATATTAAAAGTTAATTATGCGTGTTTGCGCATATGATTACAGGTGTGTGGTGATGGTCGGCATGCCGTATCCCAACATCAAATCTCCAGAGCTGCAGGAAAAGATGTCGTATCTTGACAAACACCTGGTCAGGTTCTTCTTTCACTCCAAAATTGTTATACTTAAGGTAAAATGTTGTAAGAGAGATGAATGATTTTGCTTCTATGTTGCAGCCTCACAGCCATGGGAAAAACCCTGGACAAGCATTGGTAGAAAACCTCTGCATGAAGGCTGTTAACCAATCTATAGGTACCGATTACAGAATGTAAATTTAAAAGCAATATTTGTTAATAGGGAGGCGTTAACATGTCTGTTCTCTCCAAAGGCAGAGCCATCCGACACAGAGGCGACTATTCCTCCATTGTCCTTTGCGACAGGCGCTACGCACGACCTGCTACGCTCGCTAAACTCCCCGCGTGGATCAAGAATCGCACCAGCACACACTCAAGCTTTGGCCCTGCTTTTGCTGCATTACGGAAGGTGAGAATGACGCACAAAAGCGCCCCGAAAAGTTTTTTGAATCTCGACTGAACGAAGGCAAGTTCATAATATCAGCTTTTTTTTATTTATTTTCTGCTTTCCTAGTTCTTCCTGGAGAAAAGGCAGAAACAGGAGTAGATTGTCTCCCACAGAGCTTCTTCACGACCTCAATAAGAAAGAAACTGCACAAAATGTAATGTTTAAATAAGACTCAGAAATGTTATTTTTAAATGAGTTACACCATCACTACTAGCGACATCTTGTTTTTTGTTTTCATGTTCTCTTTATTTTACATTTAAAACATGTCAGGTTCTCCATTGTTCACCAAAATGTTCTCAGGTTTTAGTCAGCATGTTAGCGATTGAAAGCTAGTTTCTGTTAACTGCTACTAGGCAGACTCAGCAATGATGACTTCTTCTAGAAAATGTAAATATTTTAAGGACAGTGCTATGTAATTCAAAGCCTCCTCGCTAAATGTTTTTTTCATAGGTTTTTCTAGATATTTGGAATTTAATAAAAATGTGAAGTTATTTCAGTCTGTTATATTTATTTCATTACAGCTGCAAATGTCTTGTGAAATTATTTAGCCAGCTACCATTTCTTTTTGGCTATTTACGTCTTTTACGTTATGTAAATAATATGCCAGTTCTTCAATAAAAAAAAAAAAAAAGTATGTTTCGTGCCGATCACTGTCCACCATGTTATGCTTCCCAATCGTCGTCATCCGCCGCTGAATGTGGGGCGGGTGGGGGTGGGATGACGTCTGACATCCTGGCGAATGCACCTCCGCTACCAGCGGGATTTTCAGCCGACTCTCCACCTGCTGGGCCTTTCCCTGAAATTCCTGGAGACAAAGAACATCCAACCTGTCATCATCATCGGTATTCCTCCTAATACAAAAACAATTTCAACTAAAATATTTGAATCTCAAACGGACAAGTGAAACTATTTTCAAAATATTTGACAGTGAGGCACAGTAACTTGCATCAGAGCTGTTTACAGGTAACATTGCGGTTTTTTGGTTTTTGTAAATCTCATTGACTTATACAAAGTTAGCAAAACACAGGTTGTATTCATTTGGTTTTCAAACGAACCCAGTTAGTTGGGTCACATGTGGAGAGTGGTGTTCCACAAGGCTGAATAATGGGACCAACTTTTTTTTCACTACTTGTATTAACCTTGGTAGATAACTTTTTTTTGTTAAGTGTATTATTGTGATATTATTTGTACATTTCCATAATTTGTACAAGTAACAATGGACTTCAGCATAGATTAAAGTTCTTTAGCACAGTTAAAATTGGTACATGACAGCAAAATGGCTAATATGTTTTTTATTTATTCCTGTTCATTAACTGCTAGCCTTACTATTACTATAAAACAGAAATCATCTGGAGAGTCATGTTTAAAAAGGCATCTGGTCATGACTCCACATGGATAACAGCTGAAAATATTTTGATACATAACATATTTTTGGTCTTAGTCCTAAAAGGTTCTTTATTATCTTCTTTATTGAGACTCTTGGGCAGAAGAAATACTGTATCTCAATGGGATATTCCTGGGTAAATAAAATAAAGAGCATTTCACATTCTCACCTTTCCGGCGCATGGCGAGTTTATTGAAGAGATCGGACATAAAGTCTCCACCACTAGATGCTGCTCCAACAGCTGAACAACAAAAAACAGACAAGTAGATACTTAAATCCTGAATCTTTTGGGTAAAATAAAAATCAAATTTTCTGTCAAAAATCAGACTTTTTAGTTGAATGAAATATAAAATCTAAAACTGCCAGGACTATGAAGACTTTTTAACTGTGGCAGTACAGGTGCATCTTATCTCGAGACTGGATCCTGAAGTCACTGATGAAACATGGACGAGCCCCTCTCAGTCCCTCACCTTGCTCTTGCTCTTTTTGTTTCTTCTTCTCCATCTTGCGTTCACTAACGTTACGTAACTTGGCTTTGCCGATGCCCCCGGCGTTGCGGATGGACTCCAGCAGACTGGCGCGCCCATCTGATGGCTGCACCACCTCGCTCGGCGCGCCAGACACAGGGCCTGTATTCAGAGCATACAGTGAGGACACCCTGTTAAACTTCACTCATTAATATGAGTTAGGTTAGAGCTAGGGAACAAACAAAGTTCTCCTACTGCATTAGAAGTGGAGGGTTTCAGCACTTTTAATACTGTTTTTACTCAAAGCGAGGAGCTCGGATGTAACCAACCTGAGCTTGGCGTTGGAGTAGCTTCCACGGGGATCTCTATGGTAGGAGGAGGTGGAGGAGGCGGAGGAGGAGGAGCTCCTGAAGGAGCAGTGGGAGGGAGGGCAGGCTCAGAGGGGGGGGGGGGGGGAGGGGGGGGGGGCGGTGGAAGATTATTTTGGAGCTCAGGGCCTGAAACAAAATAAACCCCATAAAATTAGCTTTTCAATAAAAAAAATGGCCCAAAGTTGAGGCAGGCGAAAAAGAATAAAGATGCAAATATATAAACAAACATAAGACACAGTCAAGCAAGTGTTCAAAGGGCGGGTATGTCACCTGGTGAAACGCCCTCCCCAGAGAAGGAGGGCAGCTCTGGGATGTTGAGAGTGGGTCCTGATGGGGCGAATCCAGGTCCAAGATCTGCGCTGTATGACAGATCGTCTGCAATACCTGGAAGGTCAGGCAAGTAGGACGGCACATCTATCTCAGGCACCTGACCCAGGTCTGGCACGTAAAAATAACTTTCAGCTGTCTGTTAGAGAGGAGAGGGGGAGGATCATCATTGAGAAATTAGGCAATCCTGTATATTAAAAAGTCAACCCAATACTGGCTATGCTGGAACTTGCAGAAGCAAAGTTCTATACATTGTTTTTCACATTTTGCCACATTACAATCACAAACCTCAATGCATACAATTAGGATTTTTGCAAAAGATCCATCCACAGTAGTGCATAAAAATCATTGGATTTTCTTTAATCTTAAAAGTGTGGCATACATTTGTAGTTATTCCCACTGAATGAAAACTTTCTTCAACCTTCTTTAGCTGGAAATGCAACTATATTTTTATTGGAGTGAATTTTTTTGGCAAAATAACGAGCTTTTTAAGACTACATGGGCACCATCTGTAAATATCTGAAAAAGAAATATTCAAGTTTTGCCTCGGATTCTAAATTGGTCTGAATTGTAACTGAGGCTTTCCAACACATAAACATGCCTTGAGCCCCTTCTGGCTGCACATTTAGCATTGTTGTCCTTCTGGATAAGTGGTCAGGTATTTTACAGTCTTTAGCAGGTTTCTCCCTCTGGGATCTTCACAGAACAGATTGCAATACAAATAGCTGAACTCTATTGAATAAGTGACTTTTTCCATATATCTAATCTCACTAGATTTTATTGTAGGTATCAAAATAAAAAGGGATGAACACATACACAGCCCATTTTTATGCACTTGTTTATTTTGGCCTATCATGTGAAATACACAATAGGTTTATGGTCGTAATGTGCCGAGCCACTATCGATCAACACACACCTGTCTCTCCATCTGCTCTCTTGTTGTAATCGACAACGGGGCATCAAATGGTTTCTCCTCTTTTTCCGTCTCCAGAGTTTGGTGTGTTTTTGTCACGGCTCCAGCCAGAGGGTCAAGGAACACATACTTTTTATATCTATGAAAAACAAAAGATGCAAGTTAGTAGATGCAGAGGCAAAGACTTGAAATCAGTGCAGCTGTTGCAGCAGGAAGCATTCCAGTCCGTCTCCGTTCACTCACAAGTTCTCTGTGGTGTTGAAGAGCAACAGAGAGCTGACGGATGAGATGTTTCGCGGAAGACTGCCCAATCCCTCTTCTGTCTCATCCTCAGCCTTCTTCTTATTGCTCACACACACTGGGAAATATGTTAACTTCTCCTGAAGGGGAGAGATCAATACAAAGTGTGTGTGTGGGGAGGAATGTGTAAATCTTGAGCAACCAGAATGACAAAAGCCACGACAATCCCTCTGCTAAAGGACGCGCACACCCTCAATCAGCGGGAATTATAAGGGACACTTCTATTGGAGGATGTTAAATAATTCATTTCTGCACCAGAAACAACTGCTAGTGTCTTTTTTTTTTTCTTTTTTTTTTTTCAGTCTGACAAATACACACGTATCCTTCACACAAACAAAAATCTACACTCTGGCGAGAGCAAGCATACGCAGCAGAAAATATGCAGGATTTTTGTAAAGGTTGCTGAGATGGTGCAGGAAAAACGGAGGGGCTCGCTATAAATTATTCACGAGCTTCTACTGAGCCGAGCGAACACAGACACACAAACTCTCATGCATTTACAGTCGATTTTCCCTGTCAACGCGCGCACGGCCTCTGATGTACTCCATGTACAGCATGTGACAAATTTAACGAAGTGGGTTGCAAAATAACCTGCATCAAAGGTTCTGACAAGGAAAGAATGAGACCTGGGATCTGGATTTAGATGGGGGATGTCAAATAGTAGAAATTTCAGAGGTTGTTTTTTTTCCCATTTTTTCTAAACCTGCTGATGAGACACTACTTATAAAGGACAGAAATGACACATGCATTTAAAAAAAAGTATGTAGCGACATCAAAATTTGCATCAGAGGATAAGGGAATGATGTCAGGATAAACCCAGATAAATATGCGAAATATGCAGACGGTTAAATTTAAAGACCTCAAAAAATGAATAGAGAACATTTTGAATTTTGAATAAGCAAGACACAAGAAGTGTGTAGAGAGAAGGGGGGGGATAACATAGTAACCGTTTATAGATATTAACAAGTGCAAAAATAAAATGCATTTATTTTATGTTTAGTTGTTTGTTGAGAAGTATGCTTTTTATACATTTGTTTCAGGCAAAACAAGTGGTGTTCCTTCTGAGTAATGTAAAGGCGTAGAAAGGGTATTTTCAAGGAAAATATATGAAGAATGTTTTATTTTCATCGAACTAAGGATTGGTTAAATTCATGCCTGGAGGGGAGTTAAAATGAGACAGACATGGGGTTAGGAGAGGAGGCTCGTCAAAGCTGCACTCCTATACAAGCAATTTTAGAACAGAGTAACCAGACATTTATTTAACAAGTGTCATATAGAGCACTATAAAACAGCCGCCAAGACACACAAAAAAAATTGGAAACCTATCTCGTAATGATCAGTAAGTGGATCATGTTATTGTTCTTTTCACCCAAATATCAGCATAAGACTTCGGAGTCTCAGGACCCACTAGAATACTGGTCTGTCAACATTTGGACCCAGATGTTGTTAGCTTTCCAGATGTTCTGAGCCAGATGTGAGCTTGTTGTATGGGCAGCTTCATTCTTCTCATCATTGCTCAGCTTATAGAGCATTTCTTTTCCCACCTCAGTAAAAAGCTACATCTCTCCGGTTGCCACAGTGACGGTGGATGTGGGAAGCTGCATAAATGAGCCGAGGGAAATAGATGGTGTTTCCCCAACAGCATCAGAAGAGTAGAGATATTAGCACACACAGTGCTAAAAAAGCCTCAAAACTGTGGATCAAATCAGTGTTTTTTTTTTTGTATTTACATGCTTTCTGCACACTCTGGCTCATTTCTCTTTGATTTGAAAATATCTGGGCTGACGATAAAACATTCCCCAATCTCACATTTTTGAATCTCAGTCAGTATTTAGAGAGGTTTTGCCCTGCAGCCTTCATACATATGAGAAGTTGAGATTAGCCCTGACGTCTTCTTTCTCCATGAGAAAGAAACCCACAGGACCAACATCAAGATCTAACCTGTACATATAAAAGTATTTATATCTCTTTACAGGATACTGTGTTAGACTTCAGGTCTGAATTGGTCTCATAATTCAAGCATCAACAATAGCAAGAAGTATCTATGAATGTATACTCATAGATATACATTCATATATACTGTATGAAGTTATGTTGAAAGTATAAGGAAATGTGTGAGCACTGCTCACAATAAAATAGCCGAGGTGAACACAACACAAATACATCTTTTCTGCACAGATCCTACAAATTTAGAATTACAAAATTCACATTTCAGGACAAAAATTATCTTTTTTTTTTTTTTTTTTCAGAATTTTGGACATTTGTATAGCCAAAAATATGACTAGGTGGGTTGGTTTCCAGCTCCGCAGTGCGAGTAAGTGAGCGCTTTTTTGTTTTGCACTTGGACTTATTCTACACTAAGCACAAATTCTTCAAAGCACAGTTTGTAATCTATGACACCTTTATTTTGCAAATGCTTTATTCACTGCAGTGCAGCTTAAAACATCAATCTAGGAGGCTCTTGCTCTTTTTATTTCTGACAAGCATTAATTTGCCTGCGAGTTCTCTCAGTAACTAAAAAAAACCCAAATTCATCAATAAGTTAAACAAAAACTTAAGTTTTGATGTGATAAATCAAAGATCAATCGCATCATCTACTTTTAAGTTATTAAAAGTAAATGATGCTACAAAGTCTGGCTTATATTATATTTCAGATACTAGATTAAAGTTAAAAAATGTTCATTTTCAATAAGATTTTTTCAATGCTTATCGAGTTTTGAACAAAAATTAAAATATCAAACTCCACACTCTTCAAAAGTTTGTAGGTTTCAGCTCGATTTTGGATGTTGATTGCGGCAGCGAGAATGCTACTTTTCTTTTTATGTTACAATTGATTTTTTCAAAATAAGTGGATTTCACGAAGAAAAAAAAATAAGCACAGTATTGGACATTTTTTGTGTGTGTGTGTTTTTTTTTTTTTTTCACCTGCCAGGCCTTCTCATCAAAAGGCCGAAGTTTATTCTGTATCTTGCGGCGAGGCTGGGTTTGAGAGGAAGGATCTGCAGCTCCGGTAAAGATGGAGGAGTAGTCCTGGAGCCGGTCTGGGGCAGGGTACTTGGCACTGGAGAAAACCTTTGCACACAGATTTATAAGGATTTTATGTGATGCTTCAACGAGAATCTGAGTATAAAACTTGTAATTTTGTCTTTGTTACCTTGGTGGCCTTTTTACTGCCCTTAATCTTGTCAACACGGGCCTGAGCTAGTCTGATCCGGTCAGAGACGCTCTGCAGCTGGCGCCGGTTCTTCTCTACACTTTCAGAGACCCTGGGAGCAACATCAACACAAACATGACAATAATCACATTCATGCATCAGGAAGAATGTGTCTGAAATATTGTGAAAGGTTCGGCCAGTTGAGTTGACCTTCGCCAGAGCCGCGAGGGTAGCAGAATTTTTCCACACGTTTTTATGTCACAGTTTGGAGAGTTTAACATGACCATTACTGGCTCTTGGTATTTTAGTTTCACCTTTAACCTTATAGTGTGATGTGGAGGCACTGAATTTACATTCATTGGGCTTTTCATTCTTACCAAATATGATTTCAAATTTAAAAAGACGGAACACCGAAGAACATTTTGATACCAAAGTGATTATCCATACATATACAGACTTGAAAATAACTAAAAGAAAATTCAATACTATTCCATAATTTTAAAGACAGTGTAAAAACACTGATAGCAGAAATACAATAAAATCAAAATAAAAATTTAAGAAAGTGCCCACACTTAAAACAGGCCATATTGTAACCGATGCTACAATTTTCTGACTCTTCCAGCTATGAATATGTGTTTTGATATAATTACAGAAGCCGATGGTTGCAGCGTGCCAGACAGGACCATCTGGTGTAAAACATACGCTGCTTAATAACTGCAATCTAGTGAAAGTGACATCTTGATCCATAGCAGCTTACTTTTAGCAGATGCCGTAATGTTCAACATCAGTCCATTCAATGCGTTGATGAGACTTTTCCAAGAGCTGCTTTATACCTAAAATATTTTCATTGCTCATCTTCCAATGAAAAAAAATATATATTTTTTACGCTCCCTGTGAAAATTGGCTATTATCTCGTCTAACAAAAATAAATAAGTAAATAAATAAATATAAAAAATTTCAACCATTTATAACACTGGATCTGAATCAGGTGTCTGTGTTTCTGAATTCAAATGTGGAAAACTGTGATGCTGTAGACATGTGCTTTAGAAACTCTACCTATATTTATATTTGTAGTGTGTGTGTGTGTGTGTGTGTGTGTGTGTGTGTGTGTGTTGTGTGCTTACCTTCTGAAAATGTCTGTAGAAATAACCTCTAAGTACAGCAGTGAATCTGCAATCTGAAGAACAGCCTCCTCTCGCCTCAGCTCAGGCTGAACGAGAGGCACCGAGTATACCTGGCCCTCCAGGCAGTGCCTCTGTGTCATCCTAAAAAACCCCAAAAAAACAGCAGTGCACAGCAAGATTGTTATTTTCATAGGAAACTGAAACCAAGCACTGTTATTGTTTTATCTCCCTTTTCAAGAGCTATTAAACTAGACACGTTTGTTAAGAGGAACAGCGAGATGGATATTAATTAAAACAGTAGAAAAAAGATTAATGTTAGGTGTGTGCCAAATTTGGGGAAAATAAGCAAATTTCTAGAGTAATTAATGAGATGGAGTGGCACAATAGTGATTCCATTTATAGCTGAAAATTTCATTTATGTAGAGCATTCCACTCATTTTTTAAAACACGTTTATAATACTGACTATTTACTAATATTATTCTTATTCCTGACTGTACCAAATTTGATGGGAGACAATGTTAAATTTGGATTATGTTTCTGTGTATGTATTAAGAGATTTCCTGGTGCAGAGTCAGCTTGTAGAATATATGTAGAAAACAAACCTGAACCTAAAATGATATAGTCTCGCCCTCACAGAAATACGTAAGTGTTTAGACAGCTTTATGGAAATGTATTCTTTTATTTACTGACCATCTGTGTCCGTTTGATAAACCCGAGCACAATGTTAGGAAAACTTGACCTTGCAGTTTTATTGCTGCATGCTTGCTGACTATATATCAATTGGGATTTACACACGTTCACCTCACTACTCTCTTTCTTTTTTTTAATCATCACAATGTTTCCTCCACTCTCCCTGAGATCCATCATCTCTACCAGTAAGATTTAGATCAGGTGTGGACATTAAGGGCTACTGGCCAAATATAGAATTGGCATGTAGAGTTTAAGAGTTTAAGTACCTGAGATATTACAGACAGCAAAATATTGCATCTAAGCATTGATTTATATGACATTGCATACGCTGATCCTGCAAATTAGGATGATATTTCAGACGGCAATCTGAAATATTGTGGAGACAGAAGATTTGAAATAGATATGATTGCACAAAACTTTTTGTGCATTATGATGGAGTGCACTGGTAGCACTGTTGCCTTGCAGCAAGAAGGTCTCCCTGTGCATGCGTGGGTTCTCCTCGGGTACTCCGGCTCCCTCCCACAGTCCAAAAACATGACTGTGAGGTAAATTGATTTCTCTAAATTATCCCTATGTGTGAGTGTGTGTGTGTGTGTGCGCATAGTTGTTTGTTGTCCTGTCTGTCTCTGTGTTGCCCTGCGACAGACTGGCGACCTGTCCAGGGTGTACCCTGCCTCTCGCCCGAAATGTTCGCTGGAGATAGGCACCAGCACCCCTCCACGCCCCACTAGGGACGAGGGTGTACAGAAAATGGATGGATGGATGTTTGTTATGACTAGATTTCTTTAATAATTTTTAGAGCAATGCAAACGTCCGTAGAGCAAAGAACATAAATATTTTTCATCAGGCAATCTATCGAAAGTTCTCTGTGAACATTTTCTTTAAATCTTGTTTTAAATATCTACAATCATCCATTTCATGTAGGTTTTCAGTAAACTAATAATTGCTTTACCTCATTTTTGGTTTTAAGATTTTTTTTCTTTATCTTAATTTGTAAGACATTACATTTTAATTGTTTTCGTTACTTAGCTTTGGTGGTTTTATATGGATATAATTCAAGACATTAAATACACAAAACATTAAAGTTTTGTGTATTTAATCCAAACCGCACGGTTTGTTTACATAAAACACATGCAATCAATTGAGAATCTGTTATTTTCACATATTCCCTCCATGTAATCTGACTGAGCTTCATTTTGCAAAGAAGAAACGGCAAAAATTGTATTATTCCATAACAGCTTTGTGAAGTATTGATAGTGTTAGCTAATAATTTAAGTTGGAGGTATAACGTCAGTGAAAACGTGTTCAAAATACTGCATTGTGTGTCGTGTTTATATTGTCTGCACTAAAAACGTTTGAACGAATAATATGAACCTCCTGAATTAATTTATTTAATTGTATGAACTTAGACCGCAAAAACAGTATCGAGTTATCTAAGGTCTAAAAGAATAAATAAAATCCTAACGTAACAATGAAACAGCCATTAATTTTGAGTCAGCATGTTCCCTCAGACATACTCCACTAGTGGACTTTCTCCTGTTTGGTGTAATTTAATCGATTTTTCTGGACTATGCTGACTCTCACATGATATCTACTACAATGTAGATCTGAAGCCGATTTGATGCCGTTATATTACGGATTTATCCTGTAATTTACTACTTCAGTCGCCGAAGATGATTTTGCCAGCTATGACTTGTAGCAAATAAACTCACAGCGTCCCTGTTTTCTTGTAAATAACACAAAATAGATTAAAGATATCCCTGGAATGCTAAAGAGCAGCACCCAGAGCAGCACCATACGGTTTGTTGGGGTAACGCTGAGTTGAAAATAACATTCTTACCTGACCATGGGTCGTGTTTGACGGCGACAAAAGATGTATTTGATAATTAGCTTAAGCTTTCGGTTATTTTTGCACAGCTACTTGATTTTACGAGACGTAATATCTGGACTTCCGCAACATTGTATCACATGACAACGTCAAACTGTGGTGCTGCCTTCATGGTAACTCGGATTTTATTTTTTGAGGTGCCGCTTTGGTTACTTTAACCATAGACTTTTAGCTTGGTCGATCCGTTCTTTAGCTTACTTGGCTATGTTAGTTAAATTAATCTTTGAGATTTCATATTGTTTTACATCTTTTTCAACAACACTTTTTTTCTTTAATTTTTCTCTTCAACCAGAAGGTAAAAACAAGTGTGTCACATATTTAATTTGACGAATAACAAAAAATATTGTGAATTCTTGCTCATAAAATGGTCACAGCTAAAGCTAGTACGAACTCACTGTTTGACAAGACTGTGGAGTTAATTTCTGGTTTTGTATTTTCCCTTTTTGTAACTACTTTAGACTAAAAAATAAATCAACCTTGAAATTACGCAAACTGTGGGAGGAAGACAGAGTAAATGGATGTAATCCACACATCCTTAAGATGATTAAAAAAAAAAAAACTCTGGTAGTAAAAAACACTGGGAAATAACTTTTGCATTGACCAAATTGGCCCAGATAAGTTTAAGTACTGCCATTTTTTCATTGCTCAATGTATTTACTAAATTGTCATTGAATAAAAACAACGTTTGTGACAACACTACACACAATAAACATATGAATAACTAATTTAGGTGATTAGACTGTTACGATGTAGTCAATTAATAGAACAGTCTACTCTTTCGTCCATTTAAAAAAAGAGAAAGATATAGGTAACGTTTCTGTTGTTATAATGGGAAAAAAATCAACCATATTATATTATATTATATTTTTAACTTGTCAGCAGGAACTTCTTGCACCTACAGGGTGCGTCCTTGCTCTGGATTGCTCTCTTATTTTCGTGCGTAATGACGCATCCGCCTCCAAGCGCCACCCCTCCCTCCTGTCACATCTGGATCTGGCTCCTCTCATCAGCACCACTCAGCGCAGTAGGAGCGAGTCGGAGTGAGGGAGGGAGGGAAACGACCGGAGAAGAGGAGACTGGCTCGGTCGGTACAGCTACATCTACAACCGAGCAGAACCAAGAGAAGAGCGGAAGGACATTCACACCTTCTCATCCGCACACAACAGTATCTCCATCTCCTGTGTCCCTCCATCTGTTAGTCCAGCTTTTCTCTCCCTCTCTCTCTCTCTGTCTCTCTCCCTCTCTCTCTCTCTGTCTCTCTCGCTCTCTCTCTCTCTTCCTTCCACTTATCTCGGATATTATGAGCTCCAGCTTGCTAGAAAACCCGGTGCAGGCGATTCTGTACCTCCGGGAGCTCACCACGATCGTGCAGAACCAGCAGAGTCTCATCCAGACCCAGCGCGCACGGATAGAGGAGCTGGACAGGCGGGTGGACGAGCTCATCGGCGAGAACAGGCACCTGCGGGACGTCAGGGTGCAACAGCAGCTCCCTTACCTTCACCATCATTCCCATCATACTCTCCCGGACCCCAGCTGCCTTCACCATCACCACCACCCGCAGGATCCCCAGCTCAAGAGTACGACGGGGGCTCTGCCAGAGCATGCGGCAACACCAGCGCAGGTTGAGGTGTCTCCGGGCGTCCAGCCCCCGCCTGCCCAACCTATGGACCCGGGGGACATGCAGTTGGTCCCAGCGGACCCCTCTACGATTTCCCCCATTGAGAGTGAGTCAGAAAACGGTGGAAGTTGCCCCAGTTGCAAATCTTTGGTTCCGATGACCCCAACAACTCTTTGTCGATCTCTGACCCTGGCAAGGCAATCCGAGTAAGTAAACAATATGGTTGGTTGCGTGTATCGCGCCTGTTTCAGCAGGGGTCAGGTGTTTAGAAACAGGCCCAAATGCAGGTATTTAAACTTTAAACCGCCTGCTTTCTTGAGTTCTCTAAAGAGAATGTTTTTTTTGTTGTTGTTTTTTGTTTTGTTTTGTTTTTTGCATGGAGTAATTTGTGTGTGTGCGGCATCCGCTTTAAACCAGGAGCGTGCGTGCATGCACGTGCGCGCCGAATTGAGAGGCGTTTAATTAACGGAGGTTTCCGTTTCTCGGCTGTGTCGGTCAAGGACTACACCACGAAGAGGAAATATGTGGATTATTTAAATGAGAAACTGGATCACGATCACTGAATCATTACATAACAAACAGCTGTAGGCCTTTACGCGTGCGTGCTCATGTGCATTCAAGCCTCTCTCTCTCTCTCTCTCTCTCTCTCTCTCTCTCTCTATGTGTGCGTGCGTGTGTGTGTGTGTGTGCTAATACACCAAGACCCGTATAGGTGTGTGTGCGTGTGTGTACGTGTGTCTTTGCCAAACGAGTAGTCACTGTCAGTTTGAGACATGAGCGCAGCAGGGTGATGAGACACCTCCAGTCACCACTGTCCGCGGTATTGCTGCCTCTACATTAATTACATCACGATCTTGGGGGGTTCTCTGATGTTGTTGAGACACATGTTCACATCAATACACACACACAACCCCATCTTGCCTGGCACCAGAGCACCATCTAATGAGATAAAACCATGTTTCTTTTTTCTTGTTATGTATGCTTTCTTTTACTGCTGGTCTCCCCTCAGTAGGGACCCTGATTGGTCTCTGTGGGACAAGACCCCCACTGAGGGAAACCAAAATTCTGTCAGGGTTTTTTTGTGAGGGGACATGCTTTAGAAAGGAGTTAGCGATTTTATGTGCTTCTTCAAGACTACACTTCTCAAATTGTTCTAATTCACCGTAATCCATGCCTGCATCATGAGTTGTGTATTGTTCAGCAGTGGTTTCTGGAATTGGAGTCAGGACTCCACTACATGTCAAAAAACGCTAAGTGGCAGATCTTTAGATGATACAGATGAGGACATTTTTTATTTTTATTTTTTTTTGCTGCTTCTGGCAAAGATGTGTAACAAGCTTTATAAATAAATTCATAATTTCAGCAGCAGCATAGGGTTCCTCTACAACAGAGTAGGACAAAAACTTTAGAAATATTCAACCTTTAACATCAGCTAGTGTAAAAAATACACCAAGAACTAGCCTTTAACAATACTTCCAGTGCGATAATTATTGGCACCCCTACACTTTTATAGCTTCCTCTAGGTGGGCAAAAGAACACATCTTAGTTTATTGTATGATGTTCAGAGAGCGATAGGAGGATCTTTAACCTTTCCTCTTTGCACAATCACTCTAGGTCATCCACAAGCCTATTTCCTCTCTCTTGCTTCCTTCTCTTCAGCTCAGCCCAGAGGTTTTCCATAAGAATTAAGTTTGTGGACAGATCATATAAGAAGGCTAACTTTGTCTACAACAAACCATTTCTTCTTTGATTTGATAATATGTTATGGACTGTTTTCCTAGGGAAAAACCCAATGACAACCCGTCTTTTGCAAAAGGCCACCAGTTTTTTTTTTTTTTTTTATTTTTTTATTGTGAAACTCCCAGTATTTGAATGTGATCATGTTATCTTTCAGAGACTGGGTTCAATGCGTCTTTTGAAATGACACAAGCCCATAGAATCACTTCTTCTCCACCATATCCAATTGCAACCAGGAGATTTTTTCCCCCCTATATATGCATCCTTTGTTTCATGTCAGACTGACTTGTGTGTTACAGAAGAGTTCAGGGTTACTCTCATCTAAAGCACACAAATTCAGTTAAAGTACAAGTTGCCATGAACAAGTTTTCTATATCTTTTATGGATGTGAAGTGCAGCAGGACAGGGAGACAATATTATGTGCTTTCTGCAAGACTGCATTGAATTTGCCACCCACTCCCCATGCAGAAACTCAGATAGTTGCTTGCATTTTAGCTGGTGGGCGGCAGAAACAGGGGCTCGTCATTTGTACAAGAACCACCACTGACTCCAGATTCTCCAGTACGAAGGTACGAACAATGGCCAAGTCTGAGTCTAACCCCACATTCTGTGAACTTGAATCATTTTGCGTCAAAGTACATTTCTAGGGTTTACCTTTTCTTTAGTGTACGCCATCAGGTAAGGGGTGGGGATGGAGGCAGTGGGGTTCCTTTCACCTTGGCGTCCTTGCCAGCTGTATTCCGCCTGCAGATGACTGAGGATCAGATTTGTTATTCCTGTTGTCAGTGTGTCTCAGCATGTTCCTCTTGCAACTCCTGAATGTGTCAGTGAGCTTTCGTGCACAACCCTATGTTGGAGCATGCCTCGCACATCCTACTGTATCTATTTATTTGATATTTTCTGTCTCTATAGATTGTAGTGTTTTGCAGCGTTACAAAAGGATGACATGTAGAGTAGTGAGCAGTGTTCAGGTTTGGCAGTGAGCGCGCTTTGCATCTTTGTCAGTGTTGTCAGCGCACGTGAGTGCGAGGAAAGGAGAGGAGACGCTCTTCTCCGCTTGGTCTGCTTCTCTCTCTTTTTTTTCTCTCTCTCTTTCTCTCTCTCTGTCTCTTTCCAGCTGAGCCTTCTATCTGCCCCACTTAGCCCATGGAGCGAACAGTAATCAGCCATTCTCAGGAGGGGGAAAAAAAAAAAAAGCAGAGAGATTGAAAGAGAAGGAGAGATGCGTGCTCAGTCGTTGTCTTTGATGGATCCCTTGGAGGTGTCTACAAGAGGAAGCTTGAGGGTGATGCTATAGGCTGGACCAGCACATCAGGAAGCAGCTGATCCATTCATCCATCTCTCCATAAGAGAGAGATGGATGAATTAAGAATGATTGAAAGGGGGCGGGGGTTGGGCATCGGGGGGGCGGGGGAGAGCTCACTACACAGGGAGTGAAACAGGTACCACAGGAGACCAAACCCCAGGGAAGTGAAATGTTTCAAAAGGGTGCGTGTGGGACGTCTGTCTCCTCTGGCTGCAATACCTACAAACAAGCAGTGTGGACAATGTAGGCTGTGGCAGCCTGTGGCACAGCGAAAAGGGCACATGAGCTTTTATTATTTTTTCCCCAGTCCAAATAGAGCTAGTCTTTTTTGCAACACTACTGTTTTCCTTTAACTTTCCCTGCTCTCTCTCCTTGACCCTCACTGGTAAAAGCTCGGCGACAAAGCAACGCAAGGAGAGTGATGAAGCAGAGAAGACAGGGCTCCGAGAGGGAGAGGACGTGGGCCAACAGCAGGATGCATGTAGTGTTAAAATATTCACCTGTTCTTTTTGTAAGCGTTCGAGTTGAATGTGCAGAAGTGCATGTACGTGTGTGTGTTTCTTATGCAGACAGATGGAGCCAGTGAAAGTGTGTGTGTGTGTGTGTGTGTGTGTTTTCACGTGTTCAGCTTTTTTTTTTAACTCTCTCTAATTTTATATTCAAACATGTTACAAAAGTACAGCGTAACAGGACCTTTTAGTTTGCTACTAAGGATTTGTTCAAAAGACATATGCGACTCATATCTATTTCAGGTGTCTTGCAAAATCATTCACACCTCTTATATCACAACCCGACCTCTAGCTTGAATTCATTTTAGGTAAATTCCACAACCACAGTGCAGCCACTTTACTCTGATACTAATTAAAATCAAACACAAATATTTACAATTAGTTCACTCGTGTGTAACTTCATTTAAGTATAAAAACCAGACTTGCCCGGGATGAATTTATGGAGAAGTTTAGAATAGAGTTGGGTTAACAATCAATGCCCAAAGCTTTCAACATTTCATTCCATTTCAATCAGTAATCTGAAAATGGAAAAAGTGTGGCACAGCTACTAACCTACCAAGACGTGGCCATCCACCTAAACTATAGAGCTGCAAATATCCACAACTCAGATTGACAGGTCAGCTGTAGTTGTGCACTCCAAATGAGCTGCTCCCAATGGAGAAAAGCCTTAAGAAGATGGACACAATCGATGAAGGAGACGCAGCAAACATGCAGGGTAATGCGGTCTGGTCAGATAAAAAGTGCATGAAACCGTTTTGATTAAAAGTATAACTTTTGGCAGAAAACTGATATTACGCATTGTCCTGACCAAATCAGCCCCACTGTGAAACATGGGGATGGCAATGTCATGTCCTTGGGGTGTTGGGTTTTTTCTTTAGAGAGAGCAATGAACTTATCATTTTTGACGGTGGAGGATCATCTGCCAATTGAAAAATGACTAACCATACAGCCAGAGCTACAATGATTGGCTTGGCTGAATCTGTCACATAGAAAATCCATTAGAACCAGTGGTGGAGAAAGTACTCAAAAAA